TACAGAGCCACACAGAGGGATGAGGTTATAGGGTTTATGGATAGGTCAACAAAATGTTGGACAGTTCCAATTTCCTTACCACATTCAATATTGGTTTCCACTGACCATGACCACAAGACTAACAACTCTTTTCGGCTATCTGGCCCACTGGCCCCGTCTGCTCCTATCCCTGCAGCTTTATAGCAATCCACCTGATTGCTGAGGTGCTGCAGGTGTGCCTGACTAGTCAGATGGGGAGGGCGGTACCTGGAACAGGACACAAGACAGCAGAGGCAAAACATGCACACGTAACACCTTGAAGTAGTCATTTTAACCAGTATCTTTCCCTAACCCTAACTAATTCATTATTTGTGCCTGAACCTAAGCAAACCTTAACTGTATAGCAGATTTTATCTTTTCAACTGTAATTTACAACAGTTTTTACTCATTCATGAAGTATCATTCTTAATAAGTGTTAAACTACTTCTTCTCTTCACATTACTAGTCCAATTTATTCTTGGCTTTTCATGTGAAAAATGTGCTGGAAGTGTCGAGTTTCATTAGGTTTAGTGAAAGTGGAAAAACTAGAATTTATCAGTGAATGAAATTAGTTTTTCAGTGAAAGAGAGAAACTTGAAGCAGCAGAGTTATGAACCAACCAGTATTTTAATCCTGGGTTTTATAGCAAAATATACTGTACTTATACTGTGCGGTTGTTTGATATCAGTGGGGCTTAGTGAGGTAACAGCAAAGTGAAAGTCAAACTATTCTTTACCTGGCAACTGTGCCTGGAGGGTAAACTGTGTATCATGCTTTGAATATCATCGCCATGTTCCACAAGTTTACAGGTGTCTTAGTTTGCATAACTGATAGTGAAAACCCTGCATACTTTACACAGAACTCGTCAGTATTCACATTCTGTCTATGCAAATATCACTCCCCTGTCTCATCTGTATATTTGGAAACCTTTCATATTTGTTTATCTTTCCCAGAATGGGCTCTGTCAGAAGAGGACACTGACCTTTCAGATCCACCCCAGTGACCCAACAGCAGCAGCAGCAACCAGTGTGGAAAGATTCCTGACAGACAATACCCTGTCAGACACATGGGTAATGTATAAGCTGCAGAGCGACCGACCTGTGCAATGAGACAGTGACAGAGGGAGAATGTGAACCTGCTGTTTGGCCTCATTTCTCAAACTCTCTGTCATAACCTATTGAGTTAGCTTTTAAATACACCCCAGGAATCTCTTTTATGTCAGAACAGTCTGAGCTGTAGATGTACTCTTAAAATGCAAAACAATACCTTCAATTCCCCCCCCACAGTATGTTAGTTCAGCATACTTTTGGGAATATTAATCTCACTTAGTTAATTCCCTGTGGGCTTGCCCTAAACTTAGTTTGCCCAATTAAGACAGAATCCAGTCTATATCATTCTGGATACACCTGCACTGACACAAAATTGGCAACACGAGTTCTGTGCCTCCATAAGAAAAAAGTTTCCTTAATCAGCTGTGGTTTATCATTTTTATTGTTTCATAATTTTGTCATTTAGACTAAACTAAAATGTTGTTGTTATTATCCCACTCTCTTATTCTACGCTCTATTGTTTTATCTTAAAGCAGCTTTTTTTTGTACAATTGTATGTCACTCTGATTTCTTCTTTCTCTCTGCTAAGTTTAGATATTTTGCCTGCCAACACCTCCGAAGCTCAAGTTATATCGTGTTTGTTTAATCCGTACGCAAACAGAAATGTGGAAGTGAATACTAAGAGCTGTAAGTATTTAATAGAAAACTATAAATTGTCACTTTTACATTTCTGTTTGTGCACAGATACAAATAAGATGTAATTAGTGAGGTTTAAAGGTGCTGGGAAGTTGATTTTTGAACTTTAGACAGAGCTAGGCTAGCTGTTCCCCCCTGCTTCTAGTTGTTGTCCCAAGCTAAGCTAATTGCCTCCTGGCTTGAGCTCCATTATGAAGTTACAGTTATGTGTGTGGTATTGATCGTATCATTTAACTGTCCGCAAGAGAGCAAATAATGGTGTGTCCCAAAATGTCAAACTATTCCTCTAAAATGCTGGTAATGTTGTTTTTACTGTTTTTGTATGTCTTGAGACAATCAGTGGTGATAATGCACTTTAAATAAATCATAATTTTACTTAGAGAGATGTGAGTTACTTCAAATATGCCACAGTCATGTGTTATTCTGTGATTTATTAAAACTTAAATTAACTCCAAGCTAACTGGATAAAGTTTGAGGAAAATATGAGAACTGTGAAATTGTGATTTTACCTGCAACAAACAAAGACTGAAGCTGACAGTTATTTTATTTTTTGTAACCATTTCAGTGATTTGAGTGTTTTTAAAAACAAACCTAATTTTGAGAGTAGAAATTCACATTTTCTGTGTCACAAATTCACCAAATAAAGACAGGAACAATATTTCCTGAGCGTGCCAGACGCTGTAGCTGTTCAGGTGTTTTGAATGCGTTGTCAAACTGGAGTTCAAGCTGTTCCTTCTTTCACCAGAATTTCTCTCTGTGGATTAGTTGGGCAGGTTTGGCAACAGAGCCTGAAACAGCAGCTGCACATCAGCCTCAATATGTCACAGATTCCTAGTCCTCCCAGTTATTAAGTAAAACTTGGACATTTGAGGTCTACTGGGACGTGCTGATGATTTGTTCTAAATATTAATGGGCTTTTTTTCCATCATAGGTTCAATGTGGCTTATCAATAAGAAGAAAAGAACAAACTGAAACAAATTTCTTTGATCTTTAGTAATGTCAGACTATTTTCATTCTGAAAATAACATAATTACACAATATCACTGCATTAAAGACATTAAAGTAAAACTGAAGTCTGAATTCTCCTCACTTTTAATATAAGGAAATAGATGATATTGCAGCTTTTGTGCATATTTTTCTACTTTTCAAAATAGGATAACTTTTTGGACATATTTGTGGAAATAGCATCTAAGCTTAAGTCTCTGTGGGTCTTTTCCAATGGCATCGACTGCCTGACAATTGAGGGCGGGTGTTGCCTGGAGAAGCGCTGTCAACTTCCGTAGTGCTCTTCTGACTGGAGCCTGTCATATCCCAGTATAGCAAACGCTGATACAAGAAATTATTTCCCTTTTTTAACAAGCCTACATGATGTTGGTTTTGTACCATTAGCAATTTAAAGAGATAATTCGACAATTTGGGAAACACTCCAGTAACTTCCGATAACTTCTGCTGGTTGCCTGACAACCGGTCCTGTCCACAGTCCGATAGTGTGATACATAACATAAACTTTTGCATGGAATACACAAACAGGACATAGTGTGGTAATTAGTGAGATTTAGGGCCATTTCAGACCAAATGAGGTGCTGTGGTCAGTCCTTCCATTCATTTGAGTGGGGGTAGTCGGTTTAGGCTGCAGCAGTGGGGGCCGCAGGGGACACAACAAAACACTGCAACCTGTGACAGTGACCAAATGGCAATCAGACCGTTCAAACTGCTCCAGCCACCCTGAAATATCGCTGAAACAGGCGCTATCCAGGCACAGTGAATGAGGAGAGGGAGTGCCGGTAGTGAGAAAGCGACTTTTCCTATTGTTTCACAGCATTTACGTTCTAAAGCACAAATAAACATTCCCACACTGCCGAACCACCCTGTAAGTAATCGCTGGGGTGCCTGATTTGGTATCAATCTGCCCTTAGAGGTGATCATAGGCAGATTCTGTTACCATTGAATGGAGTCAGGCTAGCTGTTTTCCCTTTTTTCCAGTCTTTGTGCTAAGCTAAGCTAACTGGCTCAAGCTACATATTTATGGAATGAATATAGGAAGTCCTTAAGAATGATAAGTCCCTCAGGAATATGTGACAGTTATGAAGGAGAGCTTCTCATTGAACTCATGGCAAGAAAGCAAATAATTACATATCCCAAAAAGTAAAATTTGAGACTCTTTGTGCTGTTAAGTTTGTAGTGAACCTGCAAAGAGGAAACAGTTGTGGTGATCAGTAAATGATCAGACTGTCAAAACTCACATCAGCAGCAGGTACTCCTGTATTCTCAGCACTCAGTAGTATGTTACCTAATGATGCACATCATAGCACAGATTATGTAGGGAGTGCTCAAATCAATAATGGGACTAAGCAATGGCAGCCACTGTCAGGGACCCAGCTTGTTAACTGCTTGTGTGGCTGCTGGAATTGCATTGCTATTACTATTTTTTGTGCCCACCCACACAGATATTATACTAATAAAATGTAAGACAGTACCCCTGGAAACGGAATAAATTCTTCTTTTTAGTAATTGCAATTTGAAGTAAAAGCACATGTTCCAAGTGAAAGCCAAGTGAAAGCATCAGTAATCTGTGCACAGACTAAGTATGCAACTTTGTTTCTTGAAAAACTTTAGGTCCTTTAGCCTTCACCCTGACATAAAAGCCCCGTGTTCATTAAAAACCTCAGGATTTCAGCATAATGCACTGTTGACCGTTTAATTGTTGTCGAGGCTCATCTGATAAAGGAAGTGTTTTGGCTTATTACAACAGGTTAATCTTATAGGTTAAACTCATTTCCAGCGAGTTAGCTGGAAGAAAATGAATTTGAATTTAGCCAATAATAAATGTGACATAGCCTCAATTTAGATAGCAATCGTTTAATTTCATTTGAATTAATTTGGCTCAGCTGGAAGTGTAAATTGACCTGCCAATACCCCCCAATGAAATATGTACATTCTTTAGCGAGGACTTGGCGTCAGTTAATTGATTCCAGCACCCTGCCAAACAGTCACATCCGAAATTGTTGTGCTTAATTAAAACAGGCACAATCTCTCCACAGGGCACATATTTTTGTGATGAATGAACAAAACCCTCACTTGTGCAAATATATTCTTGATACTGAATAAGCAGTGTGTGTTTGCCTGCATGTTTTTGTGTGTGTTCAATGAATATAATAACCATTTCTGTTAGAATACCTCAAATATCTTGGACGGAGAACTCATATAAACGCATTTCATATCAAATCAAAGGAAAGGTTTTTAGAGGATTTGGTTGTTTATTAAGGCATCATCAGGTCCCATTACATTTCATAAGCAGTTGCAACTGATGTACATGTCTCCCATTATCCATCCGCCCTGCAATCTTTCTGCAGAAATCACTGTGATTCTTTAACACTGCGACACAAAATTCCTCTCTCTGATTGATGTCTGAAATTAGAACATGGAAAGAAGCAGACCTGCCTTGGCTGCCGCCGAACCGTCTAACCACACCAAATAAAAATCACACATCTCCGAGTTATTGTTGGCTGTTTAGGCCGAGCTGAGACACATATCAATCATAATAAGGACGCATATTGATTGAGTGCAGGCTTCACTCACGTAATGATGAGTGAAAGGATCGAGGGAGTTGGAAGATGGATTTTTGGGATGAATTTTTTTCATATATACAGTTATAAAAGTGTAATTTTTTTGTATAACAAAGAAAAGTAAGAAAGTTTAGAAATGAGCAATTATGAGATATTGTTAGATCTTATCATACAAAGGCATAAGATACATAAAAGAAGACTGTGTAGTTCCCTTCCTATTCCCTCCTTTCCCAACCGCATTGTCTCAGTGTAAAAAAGAGACCCTGTTCTTGCTGAAGGTTGTCACTCAAAGTTAAAGCAAACTTAGGAGAATAATAACAATAAAAAAATAAAGTTTAAAAAAATTCTGCATCAGATATGTTCTAATTTTGCTCTAGATATGCAGCAGGTAAATGCTATGTAACTCTCCAAGGTACACACAGTCGCTAGGAGAAACTCAAATCTCTGTTTGGACACCTGGAGGTCAGAAGATTTAAGCAGTATATTATGATGATATAGTTGTTGCTACTGAGTAGTGCTAAGACCAAATACACAACTCCCTTCCTGAATACCAAAACCTCTGTCTATGAATAACAAAACAGCACCCAGCCTCCCTCCACCTCCCTCACTGGTGTAGAAAAACAAACTCCAGTCTTTGGTTTGACGGTTCAATTCTCAGACTCTGGCTGTGACTGCCAGTTGTGGAAAATCTGAATAGCGCAGTTTAAATTTAACTTCTTATTTCCTTCCTTATGCAATACCAGCAGGTGATAGTTGATATGGATATCGTATTGTTCACCATGGCTCCTGAATTTTGTTGCAAAGACCTCAACAGGGCAGCTGTGTCATCTGTTATTTAGGCTGCAGAACAACAGCACTTTTCTCTTTTTCTTTTTTTTACAAATGTTTTGCATCAGCAGGAATCGTTTCTTATCGCCGATCTGAATAGTGCAAATTTTCTTGTCTTTAAGAGCATTTTGTGGCTCCTATTCACACAAAACATCATTTAAATTAAACCAAATGTTATAACAAATATACATTTTTTAACACCCTTCATTGACTGCAAAGTGTATTCTTCATTAGGAAAGTCTTCATTTGATTCCCTTTGGCAACATACATAAATGGCTGACAGTTAATTTTGGCTGTAGTAGTGTAGTTCAGATAGATTGCCTTCAGCAATCCCTCTATTTCAATGCAATAAATTTACTCAACACAATGCATAATCTAACATAAGTGCCATTTGTGGTGGCTGACAACAGACTGTTACAAACTCTTTTGTAATTTCCATCCACCAATGTCACTTTCAGACAGTCTTATTTACAAATCTCCACATTATAGGTTGTGTATTAAATGCCAATATTGGCCGACTTTCTTTCGAGGGAGTTCATGACTTTGGTCTTGGGAGTCGTTTCAGTTTCCACGGCCTCCTGGAAAGTTGGTCATTTGCATGTTGTCCCCTTGGAGTCCTGGGTTGTAATAGGCCGAACCACCAAGGTTCAAGTCCAAAGGTTCGGTGTTGTCTAATCTGAGAACTAGAAATTAGACAAGTTAACATTTGTACCATTAAACTCTACAATTAAAAGCAAACTTATGGTGAACTTATATTACACAGAAAGTACTTTACTTTACTTTACATACATACAAAGTTCAAATAGTTTTTGGTAAATTGTATGTCTATGTCTATGTATCTGACTTGCAACTAAACTTGGAATTGAAGGAAAAATCATAAAGAAACACTGTAAAGCTCTTATTCCCACAGATAACTGGCCTAACATAGACAATGCAACATCATATTGATGTATTTACAGTCCAACTTTGTGTTTTAAAACATGGTTCCCTTGTTGAGCCTCTATTTTGAACCATTTTGACCCAATATTTGTTTTTTATTTTAAATCAATCACAAAAAGAATGTATTTTCTTGCATTCAGTACTTGTAGGTGCAGAGGACAATAATGAATCAACGGGAGTGATCATTTTACTCAACAGGTCCATACACATTATGAGGAGCTTTTTGAAAGTCATTTGGGGAAGTGTAGGAAATCACTACACGTAACTGACTAAACCAAGAAGAGTAAACAAGACAGATTGAAGGTAAGTGGGTACACTTCAGCTTAACTACCAAATAACAACTGCACACAGAGACAGGGTTGCCAACCCTCCTGGGTCCACTGAGAAGAATTTGCCTCAATTTCTGGAGAGGAAAAATGATGAATTGTAACAGAAGCAGACGTTAAAATGAATTTAAGAAATAAAAACAAACGTGTTGATTTAACGTTTAATAACATGGCTAAGTAGTGAGCGAGCTTTCTACCTTATATTTTTCCTCTTATAGCATATTTTGGGAATTTTTTTTCTTACAAACAAACTGGGGTCAAATGATAGAGGGTGGCAAATTTGTAATTTTAGGATATATATAAAACTAACTTGACTTGTATGTGTACTATAGGTGGAGTAGTTGGCCTTTGGTAACGCAGGTTATAATACAAATGGGATCAAGTATTCCAGCAGGGGAAAATCAAACTGTAAAAGTGTGTTTTTTAGATTAATTTATAATTATTATTTTTTATCACTGAAAGAAAAAAAAATCTTTGGGGATCAGAAATGCTCCTTTTGCCTCTGTGTGGGCGGGTTGGTGTGTTTGACAGTGTAGTCAACAATTATTTATTCTCTGTGGATGGAATAATGACACATACAAGTGGCAGGCTTTCTCTTGCTTCTCAGAAATCTTTTATCATTACTGTTTGAGCATGCATCTTATGGGCGTGTTCGTGTTGAACAAATGTTCATACGCTGCTGTGACTGGGTAGTTCATTTCTCATGTTGCCACAATACAGAGCGCTGCATCCCTCTGCATTGTTAAAGTTATGTTGTAAAAAGAATTGCAGAGCTGTTTACCACAACAGAGCTTTTCCTCCATTTTGTTTCGGCAGATTGCTTTCGGGCATCGCCAGCATGTCCTTTAAGGATCAGTTCACATTGAAAAACATCCTGTTGTTCCTCCAATGTTACGAATGTACAGCATGTATGAAATGGGCATTCAGACCTGCCATTTAGTAATCTGACTCATTTTTAAATATGTTGGCATACCGGTCGGTATGCTGCAGCAGAAAACAAAACATGCAGCTTGATTTCAGTTAGCAGAAAGGTATGAGGAAGTGTGAGAACATTCAGGGAAAGAATGAAACTAATTGCAAACTGTCATAGTGCATGATCCTATTTTGCATGGTAAGGTTACCTTATTAGAGCAGGATGGAGTTATGTGCTAAGGCTTAGGCTAAAGGCATTTGGGGAAATACATGTATTCAATTTCTTGCTGTGAGTTAGATGAGAAGATCAACGCCATCCTCATATCTTTATGTTAAATATGTAGCTACAGCCATCAGTTACCGTAGCGTAGCATAAAATCTAGAGGAAACATGTTCTAGAGAAGGCTGTTTCCTTAAAATGTTGAACTAGGGGGAAATAGTACCCGAGTGACAGTGCACAATAATAATGAGAAACATATTTAGCACTGTTTTATTTTAACGTTACATTTCGGGTTTGCAATCTGCAATTTACAAAATGAAATCCTTAAAAAGACCTCATTAAAAGTTCCAGAATCTATAAATATGCATATGTTGTTCGTTTCTAAAGGTTTCCTGCTGGATACAAGATGCCTCCTACTTCACTGTAATGTCCATTCTCAGTGTATGTGCACTGGTGGCTTCAAGTTTCTACATCACACTTTTATGTAAGCATATAAATTGCACACTGCACCAGGATTAACCTCTCAACTATTTATGATGTCACAAATCATGCTTGTAAGCCCCGCCTCTTAAAATCTGATTTTCAGTGAGCGCAGAGAAACTCTTCACTTTCAGCAGATGAATGTGAAAACATCTTTCTAGTGTCAGACTCTGCTCATACATCATTCTGCACAGTTAAGCTCAAACATTCAACTGGAGGAACAAGAAGAAAAACATATTTTTGAGTGGAGAGGGACTTTCATATTAGGAAATCTTAAACTTCAAACTTTTGATCAAGTTGGCAACCCTAATTACAATTAATGATCAAGCAATGACGGATAACAATTACATATGCCCTAGGGTTGAATGTTCCATCAAAATACCAACCAAGTTCAGCCTTTACTGTATAGGGGCGTGTAGGAATTAACATACCTGGGTCTGAAGGATACTCCTCAACCAGTTTCCTGTGAGAGAAACCCTTCTGGTGTTTCTTTTTCAGGATGATGTAGGCCACCAGTCCCACACAGGCCACAGCCACCGCTGTTCCCAGTACAGCCCCCCACGCTCCCTTTCTTTTACTCCTCTGGAGATCTGATTCCAAACCTTTATTGGAGGAATGAGGGGTCGAGGGCATTGGGAGAGAGTAATGCATAATTTGTCAACAACAAAATTATTTATATCAACTGCTGTCTTTGAGGGTTAATTGTCAGATAATTATGGCTGAAATGTGTTTCTGAAATTGTGTTTCCAGTGGCAGCACTCTGCATAGATACACATCCCAATTAGTCAGCTGTACAGATTTGTCTAATTTGCGCTGCGATAATTAATGCAATTAACATGCCAAAATCATAATAATTTCTTGAATACATTTGAATATTTTAAGGCGTCAGGCTGTGCTCATCATCTAGATAAAGTGACGTGACTGAACATTACTTTAGTTCTCCACAGATCATTGAAATATCACAATTCTTTACATGTAAATATAGCACAGAGCTAACCATTAAACATCAACATCTGTGCCCTTGCATTATGACAGCTGCTGTACAGGTGTGGAAAAACATCAAGTATGAACTGACAAGTGCTTCTACTAACAAGATTGACCCATTCTATTCTAGCAATGAGAGTTTTGACATACAAAAGCGTAATTGTTGAAGTTACATAAAGAACTTTATACTTTACAGTTTGTGCTCAGAACAACAGCAGTGGGAAGTGGGCAGTTTGTGAAAGTGAAATTGTTTTCAGTATGTTTTGACACAGAAATAGTACATTTCTATTTTATCAGGACTCACACATAAATAATTCAGTGGCTCAGTTTATCTACATATGGCTCAATTTACCCACTTGCTAAGATCAATTTACCTCTAACCTGGGGCAAGTTGAACCAAAAGACTTTTCTCACAGTGTAGGCCTATCTCAATTCTTGTTTGCTTTAGATGCATTTTTTGTAGACATAATAAAATATGAGTGAGAGTATTTGTTTCAGTTATGTCTTATATTTCTTTTCTTGCTAGGGAGCTTTTAAGTAAAGACGTCATCCCTGTATATGTATACAGCGATTCTATGTATTAGTTTCTTTGTCTCATGCCAATAGATTAAGCAAAAAATTACATACATAAATAAAATTTGTTCTCTTGTAGGTTATAGGTGTATTCAGGTATGCTGGCTCCATGGATTGTAATGTCGGTCTGATATAGCTCAATAACTACTGGATGGATTGCTTTGAAATTTGGTATATAATCATGATTCCCCAAGGATCCCTGACTTTGGTGATCCTCTGACTTTTCTTCGATGAGGCTGATATTTATTTATGGCTTTGGCTGAAATTTATGAACAACAATTGGATGGATTACCATGAATGTGAAAGTGATCCCCTGACTTTTCACCGACTTTATGTCCAAATACCTGTAAAATTAATTACATCCCCATCATCCTCAGCTGTACATTGTGTTTAGTGATAATTAGCTATGTTTTGTTGCACGCTAACAAGTTACAGTCAACTAAAATGGTGAACATTATGCCCTGGTAAACATCAACCTGTTAACAGTGACATTGTGAGCATATTAGCATGCTGATCTTAGCCTTCGGCTCAGGTCACCACTGTGCCCAGCCTCACAGAGCTGCTTGCAAAGCTGTAGACTATTTGTCTTGCTATATTATGATGAAACATGATTCATGTAGGACCTGATGTCATTGTAATAACTGTATGTTATCTTGGTCTTGTACGGTCAAGCCACTGGAGTGAATGTTTGTTTTTTGTTTTTGATGTCAGTAAAAGCAAACTTGCCTTGTAAGTTTATATTTATAGACTATGTTTATCTGTACTCAACCGTCTGTGCTTTTGTGCACACACTGTGCCTGTCATGGTGACTGTGGAGCAGTTTTTTCTTCTTGTGTTACCCGCAGTTTCACAACTGTTTTCCCACTGTTTATTGCCGTCATCTGTTAGTGTTATGTCCTGCTGTCACATCTGTCCATGCAATGTGAGTTTTATTTTAATCCTAAACTCGCGCCAGCTCTCTAGAGGCCCCTTTTTCCCCCCTTGCCATGGTGCAGGAAAAGTAGACTTTCGAGTTGATAGATATGATAGATATGAACATCTATTAGCACTATTGTATATGGCATGCAACCTTTTCCAGACCTATCTACTTGATCTTGTGGTCGACACCAAAGGCTAGTCTCACGCCCCTGCAAAGAGGCAGCACAAGTATCTTGGACTTCAGTCCCTCTTTCAGTTTTTTTGCCACTAAAACAGGGTTTCATTGTCCTGCTTAGAAGGTGGTTGAAATAGACCCCTTCCCTCATAGCGGATACATCGATAGCACCTGAAACCCAATCCAACCTTTTCCTTTGAAAGAAGGGACGTTTGTATTCTGCCAGTGGGAAAATAGATGCAAGCAAATGTGGGTCAGGGAAAGGGCGGAATAAAAGCAATGTGTAAAACAACAGTGATATATGCTCTTTAGCAATGAGCATAGTGTTACTTTCAAACCAAGTCTCTAAAGGGGATCTGTAAAGGATTTTCTGCCTTAGTCAGTCAGGAGGTCTTGGAATTTCACACAAATGCAATTTTTCCCCGGTATCGGTCTATAATGTGATGTCATGCTTCTAGGAAAACACACAAAGCGGTTTTCTGGACACAGCAATGTGCACCAGATACTGTGACACCTGAAACTGCAGCAGTACCTCTTTCTGAGTTGGTCCCTAGGGCTGAACCTTGTTCTGTCTTGTTGGCCTTCTCAGGTGTGTTTGGAGCGGCGGCAGTTGTAGTCTCAGGGCTCATTTCTGTGGTCTCAGATAGGAAGACTGTTGTTGATGAAGAGGTGGTGGGTGTCTCGTTTATCTCTGGTGTCGTAGATGAAGACGTGGTGGGTGATTCGTTTATCTCTGGTGTCATTGTAGATGAAGACGTGGTGGGTGTTTCGTTTATCTCTGGTGTCATTGTAGATGAAGACGTGGTGGGTGTTTCGTTTATCTCTGGTGTCAATGTGGTTGTTACAGTTGTCGTCGTAGATTCTGTAGCATTAATTGACCCTGTATCTTCGTCGGGTTTTGTTGTGGATTCTTGCGTAGCGTTGCCCTCTGGAGCCATGGTTGTCGTCGGTAGATCAGTGTGATTGGAGTAATCTGGCAAGGTTGTGGAGTTTTGGGCACTCAGATCAGTTGTGGAGTTTTGAGGAGTGGTCGTTGAGTTATGAAATTCCTCCTCAGCGTTTGTCATGTTGACCTGGCTTGAGTTTGTGGGATCTGCAGTTGAAGTAGTTGGAGAAACAGTGGCGTTTTGCAATTCAGGTTGCTTGGTTGTAACATTTAGCATTGCGGGAGGCTCGGTGGTAGCGATAACAGTAACATCATCAGATCCATCATTTGCAATGGCATTCTCCTCTTCCTCATTATATATTGCCATAAAGCCAGATGGTGTCCCGCTGTTGGCCTGATCGTATTCTGTCTCAACTTCAGGAACTGTAGTGTTTTGACTTCCAGCTGTATTTTTGAGTAGTTCACGGAGCCAGCCTTTATCAATTGTCCGCCCCGGAGAGTCGGTTGAGTCTCGGAGCGATGCCAGGTGAGAGGCTTGGACAAGCAGAAGGAGGACTGCTGTGATTTTTAAATACACTTCCATTTTCCCCTTTTGGTTTTACTCTGAAACACATGACAGAACATAAAACATTTTTGTATTTCTTGAAATAAATGTCATCCATTGTGGTTTTCAAAGTCATAAAAGTAACTTTAAACATCTACAGTTCTACATCACTGAGTAAACTTCATCTGCTAATGAAGACCATGCTATACGATTGATAGCTCCACAATAGGTAAGCAAGTGGATCTTGAGTGACTTATGTGACTTTACATACACCTGCCAAGTCACAATAAACATTAACATGGGAATAATTGTCTTATCAGTATTATTGATTTCAATTATATCCCCCAACTCTACATAACTGTATGTTGACAATATACTAAAGTATATCTGTGATACGTCAAAATGAAACTTGAAATTATACACAGATTAAACACAGAACAACCTCTTAGAAACTGAGTTGCAATCATGCAATTCAGCATATATTTTTGTGGCATCCCTCCAAAACTATACCAATATAATTACATTCAATGATTAATGATTACAAATCCTTCCCTTGTAAATTTGAGTCAAAATATAAAGACATTGGAGGCTGGACATAAATGCATCTTTACTTAGAAAATTACAAAAACAAATATGTTTTTCTTTTCATTTTGTTTCCTGCTTTCTCCCAGTAACTTTGTATACCTCCTGCCTGGGATAAGCACCATCAGGAAGGAGCCACAGGTGTTAAACTTGTGTTCATCACTGCCTTTGAACTCTCCCTGGCCACACACGAAGGCTCAGCGTGTAACAAGACATCTCTGTTTGTTCCTATTTTCCAGGAGCACAAAATCACCAGCGCAGGTCAGCTGCACTGACACAAGTCATAATGAAAATCCTTGAGCGACTAATCTTGTCCCACCTCCTGTTTTTGAGGGAACTACTCAGTTGATGGAGCCTACAACATTATGAACATGACATCCCCAGCTGGTACATCAGGAGCTTGTTGGTGATTTTTTAAGGCAGTCGTCCCTGCATTGTTACATGGCGAATTATCACAATTCAACACAGTCCCAACGCAATCTTTGACTTAGTGGCAGCGTGAATTTACAGAGGTACCCTGTGAGCAATGTGTTCTCCCCTCGGCTTCACTCCAACACACAAATGACTGCAGCTCCAGTTATTCCCTACAGGGCACTCTCGTTGCAAGTCACTTTGTTGATTGGTTGCTTTGTTCTGAGCTGATTCTTATAAAGAGTGCAAAAGGCTTCGTCTACAGTGTGTAATGCTGTGGCCTGCAGCAACATAGGTTTGAACATGCAAATCTGTCATATTATTATACTATATAATTATATATATTCTGTGATAGTATTATCATAACTAGTTCCTGTGTTTAAAAAAAAAAAAGCACTGTAGAATTATTTCTTGGGTATATATGTTAATGTATATATCTATATAAACAACTATATATTGTTTCTATTTTATTGGTTTTCTATGTAATCCTATAAATATAATTATCTTTTTATTTGTGTGTAGCATGAAGGAACTGCAAACTTTCACAAAAACTAAATGTCCTTGATTCCTTGATATCCTCTTTTAATGAGTCAATAGGACAGCTGTGGTTCAGGAGCTAGAGCGGGTCATCCACTAGTCTGTAGATGGGGGGTTTGATCCCCTGCTCCTCCTGTCCACATGTCAACGTGTCCTTCGGCAAGACACTGAACCCTAAGTTGCTCCCAGTGGGCAGGATAGCGCCTTGCATGGCAGCTCCGTCGCCATCTGTGTGTGTGTGTGTGTGTGTGTGTGTGTGTGTGTGTGTGTATCAATGGGTGAATGAGAGGCCAATTATAAAGTGCTTTGTCCGTCAAGGTACAAATGTACTATATACGTGCAGTCCATTTACCACTTACTGAAAATAAATTGAAAAGAACTAAATTTCTTTTAAACCAGTGGATTGTCAATCAAATCTATCCATAGTCTTTTAAATATATATTGGAATTTCTTAAAAAGGGTGCAAGCAATTTCTCACCCATTTCAAAAATGAGACTGCTGTTCTTAAATAAGGATGTAAACAAGCAATCGTATTGATTGGCAATTAGCAATGAGACAGGAATGTTCATCTGTGGTCACTTTCTCAACGACCTTGTTTATCATCCACACATCAGCCATGTTTCTGTGTTTTTTTAACTTCTCTGTGGGAAATAAATGGAAAAACCTGTGGGTTGTTGATGGTGCAGTCTGCTGTGTGAACGCAGGATCAATCAAACGGCTCAAGTTTGCTGGTTATACCACACTATGAGCACATAATTACAGAAAATAGCTCAATCTACCAAGATAGAGTGAACAATTTAGAGCTTATAACAGTTGGACTGTGAAAATAATATTTAAGACAGCTTCATTTGCACCTAGAGATTAAAATCCACATCTGTGAACTGGATTCTGGGTCCATTTAGAAAACATGCGGTACCTATGGTGGTGTGTTTTGTTCCTAATTGGAACAATGAAGGGTATTGAGTATTGCGGTTGGAATTTCTGCCTTTAACTGCCATTGATTGATTGTATTTAAGGCTGTCTGCTATACCAATCTGACAGAAAAAACATGATTCCTCACAAAGTTTAAATTATAAAAAATCCCAATTGTAACATTAACTTGTAGCATTGTTTAATGAATTCATTGTTAAATTCAGAAGACAAGTTTTGAAGTTGCAGAATATTTAAAATTGTATCAAAAGAAAACTCACAACTCTATCATTTATATTTTTACATTTACTTTTTTGACATGTCACTACTATCAGCAACTTTGCTCCAAATTCTGTGAGATTTTTTGGGGTGGTTGTCATGGTGGTCTAGGGACTAAAATGTGTACCATGTAAACAGCAATGACCTTTGTTGCATTTCATCCCTCCCTCTCTCCACATAATACAACTAGCAGAGCATGTTGAAGTGTGACTCCTCACATACTGAACATTCTGTGGAGTGTAATTATGCTGCAGGCAGCTGAGAATTAGGTGTAAATGAGACATGTTAATTTAGAACCAGTGTAACAGGCGCAGCAGAGCTACTGGTTTGTTTTGATTTTGCACTGCGTAAATTAGCACATGGTCAACGCAGACAAGATCACGCAAAGATCAAATGATAATCTATGACTCAAAAATGTAACAGGTGACCTGTATTGAATTATATCTGCCGACGACAAATATGACCACTATTTCCTCTTTGTATGGCATATGCAGGCTATTGAATTTCAAACCAGTGATTCCTGTTTTGTGTATACTCAACATGTCACTTCCTGTCGATACTAAAAATATCCTTACATCCGTCATCACATTGGGCATAGCTGTGTGGAACAAAATCACAGCGGCAAACTGTCCACCCCACTGAGAGAGTATTTGGCTGTCAGCGCCCTACCAAAGACTCTCTGCACCGCAGCGGGTTGAAGAAACAGGCAGGGATGTTTACTTCTTACCCTTCGCACTCAGAGAAGTGGTCTGTTGAAAAGAGTTCCCACTCAGCTGGTCTGTCAGAGTTTGTAGCAGCTATCACCTCCACAGCTCTGTCAACCGTGACTACACAGAGATTCAGTCCCACATAAGCATACCCAAAGACTTAAAGAAGCACAATTATACATTCTGTGAACACTGTGAACTCCTTCAACCCACATGCAGACACTAATTAACTGACGTTTATGCCGTGAATCATTCAATCTTTTTAAAGTTCACCTGTGTTATTATCACATTTTAATATGTTTACATTTATGTTGTACATTTACTGCATCGTAGAAAGCTCAATATCTGTGTTAGACAAAATCCTGGTTGAAAGTAACTAAGTACATTTATTCAAGTACTGTAGTGAAGTACAATTTAAGGTTCTTGTAATTCCATAATATGCTTCCTATTACCTCTACCCCTTTTTCAGAGATTTCAGAGAGAATTATTGTACTTATTCCTCATAGATTTATTGAGGGTCTAGTCTTTTTAGTTAGACTGTATAAGTTGAAACAATATCCATGATCCAATAATACGATAATAAAAGACTGGCATGGGCCAATTCCAAATAAAGAGTACTTTTACTTTTCATACTTAAGTAGAATTTGTTGTTAATATTCATGTCATTTTACTTTGAATAAATGCAGGGTGTGTATTACTGTTTAGAAGTGATACTCCACCGTTTTTCCCAAGTTCATAAGTCACTGCACTACAGGGTTCTTATTTTTGAGACTTGACTTGTGTAACTACTTTGTATATGTTCCCCTGTTTAGGTTATGTAATACAGTCTACAGTATGTATGTCCCTCGTTGTTGGGATGTTTTGGCACCTAGCAACAAGCTCCTTTTACTTTCACATTGAAAATAAAAGCATTTCTGTTCCTGGAACTCTATTTTTACTGTTTCAAAGGAGGAAACAGTGGCAAAAACTACCCAAATTTCAAACATTTTACACGTTTTAAGTGTATTGTGAAATAAGTCTTTAGATTAAGATATTTCTCTAAAAAAACATTATTTATTATTGGTAATTCCTTTAGTTTAGTTTAGTAACTAACTTTAAAATATGACAGCGACTTAAATCTTATTAAACAGATTCAACATAAAAATTCCTCCATCCACTTTAAAGTCCCACACATTTCCTGAGAAAAACAAGACAAAGAAGTAAATCCTTCCTCAGTAAATCCTTACCTTATTCTTAGCCTTATATCAGATGAGAACAGGTGCACAGGCAACAAAATCTCTTCACTGAGCTGCCAACGTGTGAGAGTGAATCAGCAGTCGGCCTGGAGAGAGAAGCAGGAAAGGAGGGAGGAGGGCCCAGCAGAGTGGCATTCAGGGACCAACCTGCTCAACCTGCTCTACACCTGCCAGCAATAGCAACACACCCTGAATGGCATCCAGTTGCATGCTGTGAAAAGGCCAAACAGGATAGGGATGGAAATGAACGTAAGGACAAGAGAAGGGACAAAGGATTCAGGGGTTTGGGGAATGAGTCAATTTGTAACCGCCTCATTTCATGTTCCTATCTAAATAAGTTGATTTATATTCATTTTTAGTTGCCAGGTTGCCGGGTTGCCAGGTTAGATCTGTGAATTCCCCCAGTGGGTGGAGCCTCTGGCCAAAGGTCCTCTGAGTCCTTTCTTTTTTTTTTCACAGAGGCACTGGAAACGGCTGCTGTAGTCATGGCAACAAAAAGAAGGCTGGCGAGCTCGGGTTTCATCCACGCCTTTGTCTCTGGTCTATATCAGGCTACCAAGTGACGTGTGACTTTGTGAACTCAAAGGTATCGTGCGTCAAATGAGCCGGGATTGTTTTTGTCTCATTCCTCGGTTAACTGAGTCATGAAGCGGCTGAATTCACAAGTGAGGCGGATGAAGTGGCACTCAAAGCTGCAATGCTTTGGTGAGTCAAGAACAAGGAGTCGTACCTCTAATTCCTTCAATTTATTTTATTTTTGTGAAGAAAAGAAAAATAATGCTAATGCTCCGTTATTATATTCCAGTGTTCATGACAATGTCACAGTGAGGCAGGATGCACAACACCAGGAAGGTGAAACTGAAGCAGCAAAATGGAATACAGCCATCATTCCTGTTTATTATGTACACGTGTGCTTTTCCCGCTGTGACCTGTCAAACTGTCCTCTGTGAAAAAGGCCTATTGTTTTTGCTGCTGACAAAAATACACACAATACATAACACATGTACACTCACACTGAAGAACCCTACCAAGATTTGAAAAGCCTCAGTGAGATACCTTCATCACTTGTTTGTATTTATTTATGTATTTATTGTGTGTGTGTGTGTGTGTGTGTGTGTGTGTGTGTGTGTGTGTGTGTGTGTGTGTGTGTGTGTGGTTTGTCCACAAAAGAAATACCTTTTTTATTCATCTTTGTATTATTTATTTTCTTATTTAAATTTGCATGCTAAAGCCAAAAAGAGCAGCTGTGGCTTAAAAAAGGCTCGATCCCACCCTTATGTTGCTCCTCCTGTCCACATGTTGAAGTGTCCCTGAGCAAGACGCTGAACTCCAAATGGCTCCAGATCTTCAGACCAGCACCTTGCATGGTACTTGGTGTGTATGTGAATTGATGAATGAGAGGCACATTGTATAAAAGCATTATGTAAGCACAGTCCATTCACCAGAAATACACAAAAATACAAATATATGGATTAAATAGATGATCTCAGTGTCACCACTTGTAGCTACAGCCCTGGCTTCAGAACTGTTGAAATATTATTACCTAGGGATCAAAAACATGAATATGCATATCTAGACATGTGCTTTGTTGTCATAACCAAATGACATGTATTCAAAGTAGTGCAGTGAAGGTATCATTGTTTGGAGGTCAGCTGTTGATATACTGCCATAAATGAGGTTTAACAGTAGCTTACTGTCCCAAGCACACAAACAGCTTGTCACTGGCACCTCACATGGCCTGCCAGTGTTTGAAGCTAATGGGATCGTGTAGCCTCATCAGGGACGTGAATAATAGAAATGTCTAAATCTTGAACAGAGGATAAACAGGCTTCAGACTTCAGTGCAATACAAAAGCGTACAAAGTCATGAAAAAGTAAAAAGGTGGAGCACTTTGAAACCCAGTAAATAAAGAGCTTCATAACAGCGACAAATTTATGCACATTTATGATTCAAGTTTTATGTCAGCTTTTACTCAGTACCCAACATGACAGATATACAAAGCCAGTTTTGTTTTTGTTTTGTCTTTGGCAGTAGAGATGTGCAGTAACAGATTAAGTGAATCTGTAAAGCTGAAGTCATAACGAGATATCAGTCATTATCAGGATTACAATCATACAAATTAGCATGCAGCACATTACACAATTCCTTATGTGAGCTCATGTAACTGCATCCAAATAGTCGATTGCGTCCATTCCTGAGACACTGTCTCAGTACTGAGCTGCCAAATATTTGTAGTGCAAATAGTGAAATTAAAGCCCCTATATGTAAGATCTGATAATGTCAGACTTTGGTGTCTCTTAGTAGTATCAGAAAACATTATTTTTTCACTTGTTTTATTTGCGGTTTCCGTCTCTTAACTTTGGTTGTTGTTGCCAAATATAGTAAATAAAAGAACACAATTGCGTAGGAGAAACTACGGAGGCCATGTAATGCGCAAAAAATGCAAAGGGCCTATCTAGAGTCACTGTTTGATTTGTCTGTTCTGGGCTACTGTAGAAACATGGTGGTTCAATATAGTGGACTCTGTGGACGAGGACCAGCTCAAGGTGACGAAAACACAATTTTCAGGTGATTATCCACTAATGATATATACTATTGAGATGTCAGGGGGTCTGTCACAATGTCGGTATTTGATGCCCTGGGAATGAAAACAGGCTACATTTTCATATTTGAGCTCCTATATTCTCCTTCATTCAGTCATTCTGTCAAAAGCTATAGCTTCATAAAATAACTCCTTAAAATTGAGTAGTTTTATACACCATCAACAAATTAAATTTGTTTATAATCCATCCTAACTTATTAATTAATTCTTAATGACATCAGCATACAAATAAAAAAATATGCTGGTTTTATTTTAATTTTCAAAACAAACAGAACAAACGGGATATTGTGTTTTCTTTGGATGAAGGAAAGGAGGCACTGAAGCTGAAGGAGTATTTAACTGCTTATCTTGATTGCACAATACTGTAGATACAAATCAATTTGTTTAGGTTTTCATTAAAAAGACACCTGTAGTAGAGAGATTAATGAGCATACAAAAGGATGTCACCTTTCATTTAATAAACCTGGCCCAAACATGTATTCATTCATATGTATCTTACATTTTTTCATACACATGGAAAATGCATGATTCAGAATACATACATTATACATGTGTATATATATATATACACATAGGCCTACAGAGTGAGAGAGAGAGAGAGAGAGAGAGAGAGAGAGAGAGAGAGAGAGAGAATAAATAATTGATTCATTCTTTTTGGTGCTGAATAGCAACATAACTGCATAAATCCTATTTGCATTTGCTGCATAGCTCTTATATTTGACAATCCAAACAGACAGCTTGTAATGAAACTACAGTAACAGTTTACATTCAGTATACTGACAATCCAGAAAATAAGTGTGTAAAATGGAATACATTAAAGCTGCCTTTTGCCTATTTTTAGCACTTAAATAATTCTCCTATAGACATGGGAGACTGATATAACAGATATAAGTACAACAGAACAAAGTAGAAGCATTAAAATCACCAGAATATGAGGCTTTTCACTCAATGACAATATAATTTACCAATGTATGATTTATAATTTTGTGACATTAGGATATGCTCACTCTGATATTGGATAGACAAAATGAGTGTGAATATGTGGAAATGGACAAGCCTTTTCAGACATCTGAGGCTGCTGGCTTTTTTTTTAGGAAGCCAATTTGGAAAATGGCTGCGAAAGGGAACATGAAACAGCTAAAATGCCATAATGGGTCTGCACTTATATGAATCTTATGAAACATCCTTTGAGCTATTATTGCATTTAAGGTTAATTCAATCTGATTAGAAGCAAACACAGAAAAACAGGTCACACTGTGGATGCTTGTTTGTCTGTGCCTGGTTTGAAATTAGAAATGTGTTTCAAGATATTTTCATAAAAAGTGAAAAACAGTGTTTTCATGCTGTTACAAGCAGTTTACAGCTGTTTAGATTTATGTTTCAATTTCACAATTATAATTCTGAATTAAAGTTTTATGTGAAGAATCAAAATGTTTTATTCCAGTAAGTTCTCCAAAATGAAGCTCTCAGATGCTCTGCATAAACATTAGATTTGATGAGTGTTTTCCTGGTATGCTGAAGACTCTGTGGCTCAATCTGAACAGAAACACTTTGCAAGTCTTCTGAGAGACATAATGAAAAACTCAAACTGTGTTTGCGCTCACTTATTTCCTCAGTTGATCATAAAAAGTGCATCATTTCTACCAAGTCAAATCCTGTGGTTTTTCTCGGGAGGTTTTAATGGTTTTTGACTCAGAGTCAGTGAAAATGAAATTTAGCAGTAAATTGCCTCTAGAAGACATATTCATCTGGGTAACAACATGTAATTACACTCAAGGTGTTCTCTGTTTCATAACATGCTTGTGAAATTTTAATAACAGCTGGCTGCATACTAATTCAGTCGACTTTCTGGAGGTGTTCAATACAGGAACAATGTGTACATTTAAAGTTAAAAACAAAAAGCAAGCCCCTATTTTAACAAAAGAACATGGCTTCAGGTTATCCATGAAAATAAATGTGTTTTTCCGACAGAAACCAGGTTGTAGCTTTATATATCCTAGTGCTTTGAGCTCTCTGGGCTTGATTACAGTCTACGTCCAACTGTTATGTTACTGCGAGCTCACAAAAAGCATTAATGATACCCTCTTAAAACTCACAAAGAGCATGTGATTTGTGTGTGTGTGTGTGTGAGAGAGAGAGAGAGAGAGAGAGAGAGAGAGAGAGAGGATGTTGGCTACTTCTGCAGGTCTGGGGAGGATACTTCACTGTCAGAGTTGAATTATCTTCTTTAGGTTTGTGTCTGGCAGAAACCAGTGAGACCCAGAAGGCAGGAGGGAAAGCTGAATGGCTCTGTCTTGATATATTTTAGGTTTAACATTGTACACAATCTAACATTTCCTATTTGTATACCACTGGTTGGCATTTTTATCCTACCTTAACCCCTTAACATGTTGTTTTCCCCTGTTTTTAACCATAGTTTTAAGGTTAAAATCATGCTATTTATTATATATTCTGTATCAGCTTGTACCAACTGTTTATTGAAACTAAATCCTTTTAGAGTAGAAAAACACTTAATTTGTCAAATAGAAGTATGCAGGATTGATGAAAATAAAAGAAACACATAATACAGACAGAGAATTATAAGAAATACCTAAAAAATATTAGGAAAACATATCTCTGATATTAAAAGGAAATAATCTGCTCAAAATTATTCAAAATCGCTTGCTTTACACAAAATTCCTGCAGTTTCATTCACTGTTGATTGTACAGTATCAGTTGTTATGTAATGCTATCATTATGTAATACAAAATATCCATAAAATATGTCAGTCAGGGGTCGTCAGTTTACTCACTGATAGAAGAGGGGGGCTTTAACGAAAAAGGTTAGGAACCACTGTCTCATTTTATGCACCTATTTGATATCTTTGGAAGATTTGGTTGTGATCCTAAATGAATAAGTAGAGAAACATGACAAATGTAGATGCTTTGATACAGGACACAAGGAGTCATTGAATGGTTGGATGAGAATAGAAATGAAGTGAATCAATTGAACACCTGAGGATGGAGAGGGTTCCAGAGACTAGGAGGTTCATGTTGGTTTTCCCTTTAAATTGTCACCCATCTGTATATTAAAGGTTCGATCTGTGTCTGGTTGCAGCGAAAAATGCCACATTTCAAAAGCAGCCTGAAGTATTACAGTGTCACGATCTGGAATCAGTTAGACAAAGGAACAAAGAGATCTTACCGGCTTTCAAATGTAAATGTGGATACTAGTACAATAGACTCTGCATCTGTTACTACTGTTTCATGCATTTTAATTGTTTGTTCTTAATATATGTATCTCTGAAAGTAGCAGTATTCCTGAGTGCATTATCCTCACAAAATCAATGAAAATGCAGTAACACTTTAATTGGATAGTCCGCCTACAGATTATAGACTACAGTTTATGCCACATTTCAACAGTTTATTAGCTTTGGTTTAACAATTCAACTGTTTTACTACTATAGATGTGGGGTAAAAACTAAGCTGTATAAATGCAAATATGAACTCAGTAAGCCCCCTCCCAGTGTGTTTAGTAAATGAATGATATTACTTATAGTTTAATATTATTACATATATTTTGAATATTGAACATCTTGAATACAAAGATTAACTTGTTACTCCACTGTTACAACTTGTAATAGTGTTTAACAACATTCAACTGTCGCCTCACAGCAAGAAGGTCCAAGGTTCGAGTCCCACTTGGGGCCTTTTTATGTGGAGTTTGCTCTGGTTTACCCCCACCACAAAAAGAAAATGTTTGCTTAACCAGGAACATGTAAGTGAAAGCTTACAGATGTTCAATATTGATAAAAGAAATATAGCAGAACATGTATTTTAGGTAAATTTCTTCAGTCAGTGCCCTCGAGCAAGGCACTGGCTTAGATCTGGAGTTTGTCCACAGGCAGTGTACAGTAACTTCTCACTGCTTCAGATTTCACTATACATTGTGTATGATTGTATATGTGACAGTAAATCTATTCATGGTAGAACATTTGTTGAGCATTAGTTGAGCGTTGTTGAATATTTATAAAGTGTAGATTTTCAAGTTCCACTAAATTATTCTGAGGATATGTAAGTCTGTTCATGAATTGTCACATTGTCACACACTTTGCACTCCAAAGTAGATTGAATTCTACTTCTCTGAATCCAACACACATCTGCCTCACAGCCTTCATAAGGGACACAGGCTCAATCAGCTTTCATTATGAATAGTCAATAAAGGCTTTATGAGGCTATTTCAGAGCTTCCTGGATCTCTTTTTCCTCGTGGCTTTCTTTAAAGTCAGAAAAGCAGCCCAAATGCTCTCAAGATCTCAATAAGAAAGTGGTAAAATAGAAGATATGTATGTGGGAAGAAACATGTTGTTACTCAGTTCCGAGAAATCTGGTTGAGATGCTTTGGTTACTGTGTTACAAACTGGGTCACCCATCTAAAATTATTTATCTTCCTTAATGTGTGCAAAATGTCTTTTATGGTACATTTGGGTATCAACCAAAAGCCATTTTGGACAAAATAATAATTTCTTCAAATTATGAAGCTGAAACCTGCATTTTATTTTCACCCTTGTTTCTGGCGAAGTGTTGTGTCTGTGGGCAGGTACACACCTCAGGTGGCACAAGAATAATCTGGTTTATTAATGGACGCTGAGAGACTCAGTTACAGGGTGTTGAAGGTGGATGTAAACAACTTAACTGGAGAGCAGCAAGAAGCAAGGTTATTCTCTGCATGGAGCCAAAGGACAAGTTTGTATAAACCCTGATTATTCAGGCTAATAATACAACAGAAATCATCATGTAAATACCTCAGTGTAATTGGGTTTGGGGTTTTTCTTGAGCTGCATAATTTGAAGTCATGTTTCTGGTCACCTGATTAATATAAGTCTCTAAGTTTCTTTAGCTGCTCAATTGTCAACATCCTTCAGAGCAAGTTTATTTAAGCTGACACTAAAACTGACACAAAACCAGAAGTTTGGTGATAATTCTTATATGTTTTCTCTCTATGAAGGATCTCATACGCAATTTTATTTAGTAATTTGATCCAATGTTACTGTACTATGTAAAATACTAATAAGTGGGGCTTTAAAGCTCCAGTGTGTAAGATTTAGGAGGATTTATTGGCGGAAATGGAATATAATATTCATAACTATTCATTCATGTATAATCACTAGTGCTGTCAAACGATTAAAATATTTAATCGCGATTAATCACATTAATGTCATAGTTAACTCGCAATTAATCGCACATTTTTATCTATTCTAAATGTCCCTTGATTTCTTTTTGTCCCATTATTTTTTCTCATTTTAATGCTCTTATCAACATGGAAAAGTGGATCGGCTTGCTTTGTGCAAATGTTGTTTTTTATTGAAAACAACATTGGCATATACTGTAGTGTTCAATTTCACACTAACATTCTCACTTGGAGCAAATAATCTCTCACACAATGTAACACTGTACATCAATAAAAGGGTGAAAAAAATACTTTGTCACACAAACAGCCCCTTCAACAGCCCTTTCTAAGGGATCAAAACAGGGCGATACAAAATAAAATTACAAAGTGCACATGTAAGGTAAACTAGGACTCAGCCTATAGTGCAGTTAAACCATGGCTTAATACTTTTCTCAAGTTTGCTTTGAACATAGCAGTCAGGCTACTGCTCTTTATTCACCAGAGGCTCAACCCAGCCTCTTATTTCAAAAAGAATGAACAGTTACGGTTACCAATAAAAGGTAAGCCTACTACTTCTTTGCTTTGAGCCAGTTACTCAAACAGACAAGCCTGTTGACACTTTCAGACAACAAGGAATCCATGATCTCGCGACAAAAAAATTGACGCCGTCAAAATGGGTTTGAGTTAACGGCGTTAGTAACGCGTTAAACTGACAGCACTAATAATCACCTGAAATATTTGTGTTCTCGTTACCTTTGAATTAACAGAAGGAGCGGGTCCTCTTCTACAGAGGCCGCCATGTTGAACCGCCATGTTTCTACAGTAGCTCATAACGGACAAACCAAACACTGTCTGTAGATTGGGCATTTCCACATTTTTCATGAGTTTTGCTGCCACCGTAGTTTCTCCTTCACACTTAGAATGGGAGGGCGACGCGAGGGAGTTGCAATCTGCAACTACACCACTAGATGCCACTAAATCATACACACTGGTTCTTTAAAAATGGCCATGTTTGTATGAACACTCACAATTCACACTAATAATATAGCACAGGTGGCGATGTGTTGTTCTCTTTGATTTGATATGTTTATAACTTTAGCAACATTAGCATTTATTAGGAGTCGTGCTTCTGTCTGAATATTCACTCTCCCTTTATCTCTGGTTTAGTCTCCACTAACTTGTGAGAAAAAAATCTGGTTCTTTAATCAGATGGTTGATTTTTTTCACCAGGTTTGTTGCCGGGGAAACAGCGTACATTCAGGATTAGGGGATATGACTAAATCATACATTAAATATACTGTAAAACAACAATGTGCAAACATTTAAAACCTCATAGTGCCGCAGAGTTTAGGGTGTTAATTCTGTGTGGGGTTCTACTCTGATCCACTGTTAATATAAAAAATGTTCAGTGACAGCTGAGTTACCACAGACGTTTCTGTTTACACTTCAGTTTATTTGGACAAGTAAACTCTGATTTCCGTCACATTTGAGGCTCTGTATGAGACAAAGGAAGCTGATTTGGATGCAGAGCTTGTTCGGACAAACAAATGCGTCATGTCATGTCACTTGTCAGCCTTTGGGTGACTAATACTGAAGACATGTACAATAAAAACAAATACCAGAATCATGTCCACATACTGTCTGACACACAAGACACACCTTTACATGTTTTTGACAGTGGCTTAAAAAAAATTGCATTATAATGTGATGTTTGTTTATCCTTTATTTTTCAGTGTCCCAATGACAAACGGACAACAGCAAACATAATGGCTTTGAAATACTGTTGCCAACCAGCACTTTTAAAGGATCCAGTCCATATATCTGGAG